CGGGTGCAATAGCTAGTTTGGCAATTGCAAAATAAATAGCCAATAGGAATGTAGCTATGCATTCTTATGCTGTTTATTTTTTTCTGACTGACGGCGCCGGCGGCTCCAATGTCAGAAGAAAAACAAACAAACAACAGAGCAGGTTAAGCAGAGTAAACCTTTCCGGGAGAAAGTGTTTCTCTCCCCCGGGCGGCTGGGAGAATGCAAGGCAGCATATAAAAAATACTCCGGCTGCAACAGCCTCATACCCATTAGTTATAAACGTGTTCTTTTTCTTGTATTATTTTGTTGTATTAATTGTTGCAATTTTTGTCATTACAAGTAATGTAATAAATTAAAAAAGGGAATAGAAAAAAAGCATCTGTTGCTATTTTTTTCTTTTTAGTTATTTTATAACCTGTGCTATATTAAGTATTTATTTTAAAAACATTTATGAATGGATTTACATTTGTAAACAAATTCATTCATAGTAGCTGTGTAGTGAGTGCAGTAGTGAGTGAATTCACCTGCTCAAAATTGTATGATAATACATTATACAGGTGAAACTCGAATAATTAGAATATTCGAGTCTGTGTTGACCCTGGACTTAATGAAGCACAGTGGACCAACACCAGCAGATGACATGGCTCCCCAAATCAACACAGACTGTGGAAACTTCACACTGGACTTCAAGCATCTTGCAGTGTGTGCCTCTCCATTCTTCCTCCATACTCTGGGTCCTTGGTTTCCAAATGAGATGCAAAATTTGCTCTCATCAGAAAAGAGGATTTTGGACCACTGTGCTTCATTAAGTCCAGGGTCAACGCAGCCGTCTACCAGGAGATTTTGAAGCACTTCATGCTTCCTTCCGCAGACGAGCTCTATGGGGATGCTGACTTCATTTTCCAGCAGGACTTGGCACCTGCCCACACTGCCAAAAGCACCAAAACCTGGTTCAATGACCGTGGGATTACTGTGCTTGATTGGCCAGCAAACTCGCCTGACCTGAACCCCATAGAGAATCTATGGGGCATTGCCAAGAGAAAGATGAGAGATATGAGACCGAACAATGCAGAAGAGCTGAAGGCCGCTATTGAAGCATCCTGGTCTTCCATAACACCTCAGCAGTGCCACAGGCTGATAGCTTCCATGCCACGCCGCATTGAGGCAGTCATTGCTGCAAAAGGGGCCCAAACCAAGTACTGAGTACATATGCATGCTTATACTTTTCAGAGGTCCGATATTGTTCTATGTACAATCCTTGTTTTATTGATTGCATGTAATATTCTAATTTTCTGAGATTGTGGATTTGGGGTTTTCATGAGCTGTAAGCCATAATCATCACAATTATGACAAATCACGGCTTGAACTATCTTGCTTTGCATGTAATGAGTCTATCTCATATATTAGTTTCACCTTTTAAGTTGCATTAGTGAAATAAATGAACTTTTGCACAATATTCTAATTATTCGAGTTTCACCTGTACATGGGTCTGAAGATAAACACACCCATTTATACCCGCAATCCCTGAAGGCTGCTGCTGTGTGGTTGGGAAGGGCAGTCTGACCAGAGTAGAGGTGCCAAGATAGGAACAGATGACCGGGGATAGGACAAGGCTGGGAGAGGAGCAGCTCGACAGCAATGAGGTGGCCAGGATGGGGGAGAAGTGGCAGGGAGAGGATCAGTTTGACGAGGGAGAGGTGGCAAGGAGAGGAGCGGTTTGACGAGGGAGAAGTGTCAAGGAGAGGAGTGCTTTGATGAGGGAGAGGTGGCAAGGGGAGGAGTGCTTTGATGAGGGAGAGGTGGCCAATAGGGGAGTAGTTTGACAAGGGAGAGGTTACATAGTTGTTAAGGTTGAATTGTACTGCAGTCATTATCATCATCCTGTTTTGGAAGATCCTGTGGCCTGTGTTGTTCCCATCGCCATCCAGTCAGCTGAGACAGCGATCAAGATACCAATTGCTGGGAGGAAGATACATCAAGTGCATCTAATGGTGAGAGATCTTCTGCCATCTTTGTGTGAGTTGATCTTGCTTAATCCTGCTAGATCCCATTTACTGGCAATGCAGCTCCATCTGAAGGTGGATCACCACATCTGTTAATGTTGGTTACCCTGTGACACTTTGCGAAGATACCCCTTTCCATCCTGTGGATTACAAATATTGTTTTACCAGAGGCTGATTACTCAACCACAGAATTTAAAGTGCCCCAACGCATGCAGACTTTGGGTGTGTGTAGAATTCACACCGGCCAGTGGTTAGTTAGAACCTACCAGACTTAGATAGGCTATTATAGTCAGTTATATTACTTTTAGTTACTTATTGAAAAGTATTGCTGTATTGTGTAACTGACAGTGTCGTTCACCACTCGCTCAGTGCCTTTCAGGCAAGGCCTCTCACTGGGGTTAAAGTGAACGAACGCCAAATCGAAGGCTCGTATATTACAGCGGCCCTTGCGGGGGTAGCGCTACACTGGATTCAGGGAATACGCTACTTGAGCTAAGGGCATAACTACAGTCACAACAGCCAATGCAGCTGCTTTGGGACCCTGGGAGCCCAATCCATGTCTGAAAAAGGATTGTAACATTGTTGTCTAAGAGACTGAGAATTGCAAACTTTTTTGTGCATCGATCACCACATGAACCAGCTAAGTAGTAAGAAACTCTTCTTTGATACACAGCTCAGCAAAGCAGTGGCTAATAAAGAGGAAGCAAAGTCTCTGAGCAGAGACTGCAACTTATTCACATTATCTGGCAACAATTTTTAAGTGTTCAATTACAGATACCCCCCAGTGGTAAGAAGTATAAAAAGGACCCTCATAGTTATGCACTGTAGGCTTACCACCTCAGACCATCAAGTGTTTATCCACACCGCTAATGAAGGCTCCATAAAAATTTTGCAACAGGGCACAGTCATTTCTAGTTATACCCTGACTAGTGCTACAGCTTTGTGGATTACTGAAAACCATATGCATTACAAATTGTAAGTGTCAGCTTAGACTTCCTTCTACTCATTTGGAAATTTATGAACGTGTTTACGACATAATTTTTTGTTGCAAAGACCAAAATGTCATGCTAACTAACCGCAAAGCTTTAACTCTGTTATGAGCTTTTTTTTTAGGTGCAATATTTTCACATAATTTCTTAACTGCACAGTAACTGGTCTAGCATTTGCGACATTAAAAACCCTCTGAACTGTCGCAAATTCTAGAAGTCTCCTGTGCACTTCTTAAAGTATCATAAAGATAATACCCTCAAATCAGCTGAGCACTTCGGGGCTATTCAGCTGTCCTCCAGGAGGTTCCCTGTAAGCTTGCAATCGTTTAGCGACCGCGACAGTTTAGACCAGGCCTTCTTAAACTTTCTCCACTCGTGACCCCTTTTTGGCCGAGGAAATTTTTAAGGGACCCCAGCGTCGGACGGTGTCTCTCCCCTCTTTCCCCCCCAACGTTGGTCGGTGTCTCCTCTTTCCCCCAACGTCGGTCGGTGTCTCCCCCCTCCCTTAGCGTCAGTCGGTGTCTCTCTCCTCTTCTCATCCCTCCCCCCAGCGTCGGTCAGTGTCTCTCTCCTCTTCTCTCCCCCCCAGCGGTGATGGCGGTCCTGGTCGGGGACTCAGATCGCGACCCCCCCCTGTTCACTTGTGGGACCCCATATGGGGTCACGACCCACACTTTAGGAAGCACTGGTTTAGACACATCTCCTTAATCCTCATATAAGAATGAAACATAAACTAGAATAATAGATCTGTTGCTTTATATTCTACAAATCATACAACAGTTTCAAAGATGCTGATAATGCGACCAAATTGTTAGAGAACTATGGGGTCAATGTTTTTCCCCATAGTTCTCCTTAGGGTAACGGGAGGACACAAACTAGCGTCCTCCCGTTACCCTAAGCTCAGTATAACGCGAGCTACAGCTCGCGGTATACTGAGACGCCAGAGCGGATCCCGACCTGGACGTCGGGATCCGCCCACCTGCGTGTGTGACAGCTGGCTCTGCCTATCTAGAGGCAGAGCCAGCTGTACCCACCCCCTCCCCTGTCCGTTCTGCCAATCAACGCTGGCAGATCGGAGCGGGGAGAGGGGAATCCAGCCCCTCCCCCTGTCACGGCAGAGAGCCGTGACAGGATCGAGAGGTGAGCGAACCCGGTATGTGTTCGCTCACCTCCCAATCTACTGAGCCGACCTGTGACAGTCTCATTGTCACAGGTCGGCTAGAACTATGAGGTGAGTGGAAATCACTCATCTCATAGTTCTCCTTTAAACTTCCCCCATTGTGTTCTGTAATCCAAGAATTTTGAATTCGGTACAGTAGAGTTATCCAAAGGGCTAGACCTCAGGATACCCACCTCTTCCAATAACTCATATGTCTTTATTATAGCAAATAAAAGAATAGTAAAATGTATCCTACAAAATGCTATGTTCATTTAGCCCAAAATCAGTGCAGGTATTTCTTTCCAAATGCGTAATCAGCTATCTGGCTAGATTATCACATAATGATGACTTAGAGGTCTTTTTATGAGATTTTACAGCAGGGGTCTCAAACTCAATTTAGTCGGGGGCCACTGGGCAGATTTTTTTGTCCCGTTGGGGCCGCTACTATATACGGTACCAGTTTTAATGTATGCACATGTTACAAGCGGCAACTGTCACCGAGTCAAGTTAATGATCGGGTGACAGCTGCTGCATGTACACGCCTGCACACTGCATGTAATCATATGTGAAAGGATTACATGCAGTTAGGAAACAATAACTATCCCTGGATACACGATTGTGTATCCAGGGAGAGTGATTGTTTTTGTAACTGCATGTAATCATATCACTAACTTGAAACGCCAGATTAGGGATTCCTGCTGCAGGAAAACGCAAGTTTGTGACACAGGAATCCCTAATCGCACCTGAAATATAGGGGAACTCCCCCCATCCCAAGCCCCCAGCACACATATAATAGACTCCCCCCTCCCTCCTTTCCTTCCATGCCCCCTCACCTGCTTGCATCTGTGCAGGGAGGAGGCACATCACCATTCCCTGGTGATCTTGTGGTGATTTGTAAGGTCTAGTGCAGACCTTACTAATCATTCATCATTCGGTTGGAGCTCAGAACTGAAAGAGCTCCGGCTGGGGCTGACAGGAGCAGCTCTGCGGTCTGCATCTGACATAGATGCAGACCGTGTAGCTGCTCCCGCAAGTTGGGCACGCGGTCCGTGACCGTGTGCCCGACTTGTCAGCTGGTTGCGTGCCACATAGTACCGGCTCGTGGGCCGGTACTTTGAGATCCCTGCTCTACAGTATATATTTGTTAATCACTTGATTCTTATGTTTCTTCCTCAAAAGTGTAAACCCTCATCTGTTCATGCTGCCCACAGACTAATGCTGGCCAAAACCTGAGATGTGGGTGGCCCTGTTGGCACCACCTAGCTTGACAAAAGTCAATTTGTCAATCGACCTTTGGTAAAGGAGCCAGGTGGCAAATTGCTAGTCAAACATTGACATTTATTTAGATGCAGTCATTGTTTATTCAGCAGTTGCGAGTCCCACTGACTGCTGTGTGCAATAGCTGGTAGGGGAGGTTTTTAGCATGGATGGGGGAATCAAATGGTTTCTCTTATTCAGCTCTGTGGGCTGTGAGATGAATTTAGATGTACAGGGCTAACTTAAATGAACAGAAGATGTTAAAAAGGAAATTGTGCTAGTTAATCAACAATCCATGATAAATGTGAACTTTGTAATTTCAACCTTTTGTAGATAAGTATTATCTACAGCATACAGATTAAAACACCTTGAAGGGAATTTATCAAAACTGGAGGAGACAGAATCTGGAGCAGCTGTGCATGGCAACCAATCAGCTTCTATCTTCAGTGTGTCCAGTCAAGGTTTGTAAATGAAAGAGAGATGCTGATTGGTTGCCATGCACAGCTGCTCCAGACTTTGTCTGCTCCAGTTTTGATAAATTCCCCCCCTTGTGTGTGCGCTTTTGGTAATGGTATTTTCTGGTATCCTGGTAACAGCCATACATTGTATGAGCTTTCACATTCAATTACGCAATAGTTTAAATGCTCCTTTCTAAAGCCATTCAGATTCAGTCAACAACTTATTGTTAATACAAACTCAACCTTGAAGTTGCACAAACAGCAACAAGGAAAAAGCTTTGTTACTGTGTACTACACATACTGTACTATTCAACTCCTGTTTGTTAATCTGTGAATGTGTAAACAATTATTAAAGCCTATTTGCAGGGATAAAAATGACCTTTGCAGTGGAGCTACCCCCTAGTTATTTACCTGATTCTCTGCTTTCACACTCTTAGCCCTGCATTATACATTAAGACATTGAGGGAAATCAATCCACAGGCCAGAGTGTAGCGGAGAGAGGCCAATGCTGTGGCTCCTCTTTACATCAGTTGTTAATTCATAGACAAAGTCCAAAGCCCTGCTTTGGAGTCCAAAGGCATCATTTGCACCTATGACTAAATGTGCATGAATACACTAATTTATAATATAACAAGGCCTTTAAAAGGAGAACTATGACATAAGTGATTTCCACTCACCTCATAGTTCTAAGCCGACCTGTGACAATGAGACTGTCACAGGTCGGCTCAGTAGATCGGGAGGTGAGGGAAAACATACCGGGTTCCCTTACCTCTCGATCTCTCTGCCGTGACAGGGGGAGGGGCTGTATTCCCCTCTCCCCGCTCCGATCTGCCAGCGCTGACTGGCAGAACGGACGGGGGAGGGGGCGGGTACAGCTGGCTCTGCCTCTAGGTAGGTAGAGCCAGCTGTCACTCACGCAGCTGGGCGGATCCCGTCATCTAAGTCGGGATCCGCTCCAGGTGCGGCGTCTCAGTATAGCTCGCGGTATACTGAGCTTAGGGTAACGGGAGGACGCTAGTTTGTGTCCTCCCGTTACCCTAAGGAGAACTATGGGGAAAAACACTGACCCCATAGTTCTCCTATAAGTGAAACTCTAGCAAAGCTATGGATATTCAAATATTTACATATTGTAGACAAGAAGTAAATGAGCTTTAAACAAGCCCTCACTGTCCTCTGTAGGCATTGTGGAGAAATTAATACGGTAATTAAATCTTACACCAAAGGCACAAATATTATAGCTCATCTTCACTGTAAATGATATTCACAAACCAGCTGCTGAATGTCAACTGCTGGAGTGTTTGTTGTGATTTGAAGATAAATTACTCTCCAATACCCACAACTACAGAGGTAAGCGGTGGCTTTAACCCCTTCGCGTCCACTGACGTACATAGTACATCATTGGGAGCGGGCCCGTTTAAACAGACTCCGTTTACAATTGTAAAGCTGGTTGTCGGCTTTACAATAGAAGCGATTTTGGCAGTGGCCGCCAGATTGTTCTATAGGCTGGTAAAATGCACGATCCCCCCCCCATGGCCCCGGCATCTCAGGTGTCGTGGGAAGCTGGGGAGCAGAGCGGCAAACTTCCGTTCACTGATCTCTTCCTTGCTCTTTGGGACTGAGAGTGATGAGTATTACATCACTTCCGGTCCTTGAGCTGTCATTGCTCGGCTACTGAAGCCAAGGAATAAGCTATTGAAGTGCAAACTGCACGTCAATAGCTTATTTAAAGTGGAAAGGTGACACTAGGGGTCTTTTGAACCCCTAGTGTCACCTTAAAGAGGACCTGACACCATCACTATGCTACAACATAGGGGGGCTTGTAAGACCCCCTATGTGATAGCAATTAAAGTAGAAAAACAGTTTAAAAAAAAAAAGGTATTGATAGCATAAATCACTGACATTTCAAAGGACTTGGAAGTCTCGCTCAAGGAAACCAATGAAAGAGAACAAAAATAAATATTTAAAGTGATATTAACTATTTTAAGCTATTTCAAATTCTGAAATCACTTACAATGAATGCTGCTTCTTGATGTTTAAAAGTTTCAGTTTCCTGCAGAATCAGCTGCTACCCTGATTAAAACAAAATCAAGCTACTTCCTCCCCCCGGGCCCATCTCCTCCCTTCTCCAAGCTAGGAGATGAACAGTTACTGGAGTGTGTACTGTCCTTCATGATCTTGTACTGGAGCGGAATTTCAGGGAAACTTAGCTGAGAGACTACTTAGCTGTTACTTAGTTGTTCAGAAACATGAGATAAGTGTTTGGGCAAAAATGTAAAGCAACTTTGCTGGGCAATGTATCTTTGATTGATCTGGATTCATTATTGAAAAAAGTTTGAGTTTAACACATACAATAGACTTGTAAATCGGACATGAGGATATCTGCCTTATTAAAACCATCAAAGTATGTATCCAGTGTTTAATTTTTAAGAAACCTTACAACAAAGAAAAAAAAGAAAAAAAATCCTGACACTCAACTGGCGGAGGTTATGACTTTGGCTGCAAAGAATACTCTATGTAGGAGAGAGTAGAGAGAAATGTCTGTGGGTTAAAAAGGCAGTTTCTTCTGCGCAGAGAGAACCAGATCTTTAGCAGAGCACCCCGCAAAAAGGGATGGATTTATTGGTGGATGTACCAAGTTGTTGTCCTTAGACACATATGTGCAGATTGAAACTGACCTGGAACAGAACAACAGCATGGAACACAGTCGACAGTCAATATCAGAAAAAGGGACCAGCAAAAGGTCAGAGCGAATGGCAAACAAGTATAGCCAAATACAAGCTGAAGTCGGTAAACTGAGAAACAGTAATACAGGAAACATGGACTGTAGCCTGAGGCTAGGAAATTAACCTAGCTCAGGACTGCTCAGTCCATCCGCTGATCTCCTCCCTGCTGAATAAAACCAGAAGCGATGATGATTTCATCACTTCCGATCTCTGAGTTGTCATTACCCGGCTAGAGAGGCTGGGGAAGAAACTGATCCAGCACGATCTATGCTTGATCAGCTTCAATAGCTTCAATAGGCTGCAAAGGTGGCAAAGGTGACAATGTCAATTTATAGAGGACCTGTCACTACATATGAGCTTGTAATCCCTCCTATGTGATAGCAATTAAGTTAAGTATAAAAAAAGTTTAAAAAAATAAAATAAATGTAAAAAACACCCCAAAAACGTTTTAAAGTCCCCCATCCTCACGTACATACTAATGCAAACACGTATTGGGTGCGCCTATGTAAGAAAACGACAATTGTGCCACACATGTTAGGTATCGTCGAGTGCACCAGAATGAGAACAATAATTCTAGGGCCAATATTCATGGTTAATTGTAAGCTGATAACCTGTACAGAGTTTGAATGCGTCGACAATGGACAATTTGGGGTACTGTATTTTTGGCCTTTTTACGGGTGCACATATTTTTAAGCTTGGCATGTTGGAATCTATTTACTTGGCACAACCTCTTTGTTTATATTTGACAAAAAAAAAATGTGTATTATATTGTGTTTTTGCGCAGTAGAATTAAATTCAGTGTATTTTTTACTGAAATGTTAGGTCTGATAAAGAGTTGCGCTAATATCATGAGCAGGGGCGAACTGACCCATTGGGCACTCGGGCGCTGCCCGAAGGCCCGCGACCAGCACGGTGCCTGTGGCCAGGCCCGCAGATAGGAGTGTACAGGCAGCTGTCCTGTACCAGGCGGGCCACATCAAGTGAGCGGGCACCGCACCCAGCACAGGCTAGGGGAACCTGCCTCCACACATTCTGCCAGCGCTGAAACTAGGGGGGGGCATATAATATTAATGAGCCAGGGTGGAAGATACCCCTCTCCCTCCCTCCACCGGCCTCTCTGCAGGCACTGCCGGGGCACTTGAGGGCGCCGGGGGAAGGGTGGCCTAGAAGGTCGGGCAGAGACTCACATGGGAGTGAGAGGATTCAACAGGGGGACAGAGGAGGCAAGCTGTCAGCACTCAGCAGGTATGAGGGGCTCTCCTGCACTCACAGCTGCTCCTATACATTCCGGCCAGGAGCAGCGTGGGGAGGGGGGGGGG